ATCAAACTAAAGTGACTCAAATGTCCCTTACAATGGTTGAGGGTGCTAATAACCCCACAACAAATACCTTATCCAGCAGAAAGGCCTTGAACACCCATCTTAGGACCGGTCAGGATTTTTTGTATTTTGTTGGTGCCTCTTTCCAGACTAACAGAGGTGAAAAAGTTGTGCAGTCGTGTTCCTGAAGTCTGCTGTGTGCAAACAGGTATTCTGTTTTGTGTGGGAAAACAAATAGTTATCTGCACAAGGCAGAGAGGTAGGAACTGTGGAGATTAATTTCTACTTTGTCACTGACATTCTGAATCCGGCAAGTCATTTGTCATGGGGATCTGCTTTCTGATTTCTTCATAGCTACATGGTGCCCGTAGGTGTGAGTGCCAAGGTGTAACTGCTGAAGGGACTATTAGAACAAAGGTAAGGTATTATCCACTGGAGGAAACTTGCAGGGTTTACCTCTGTGAGGCTAAAGGCTGATTAAACAAACATATCTTGCTTGGCAAACAGCATCTGTGGCAAACAGCAGGAGTAAAGTTCTTCCAGGTCTGGGTTTTCAAGGAGGAAGATGCCTCCACGAGCTGTGAGCCTTAGGTGAGGCGCAGAGCTCTCCAGCCTTCGTGGGAGAAGGAAAGGAGGCCGCGGACTGGCCAGGCTGGCCCACGAGCTTTTACGGGCAGATGCAAACGGACAAAGGGTGAACGGGATGAAGATGAGCAGTGCATTAGAGAACCTTGTTGCCGAGACTTGCTGCCTGGTGCTGATACCAAACCCCTGGCCCTCTATTATGGGAGAAGGACTGCTTTGGGCTTTGGCTGGACTCTGTTCTCAGCGGGAGTAAAATGTGTGGAGCAGATCTGCTTGCAGAGCTTGGCCCTTTCTCCTCACCCGACTGGAACCAGAACTGGAAAGCTGCCGGCTCCCTGCAGCTGCTGCAAAGTGGCAGGCTGTGTCAGCAAGCAGCCGGCCAGTTTTAGCTGCTGTTAGCTCACAAGCAGGGTCTCTCACTGGTGGAAGAGCATGGGTTAGTGGCTCAGGTTCCTGCTTGGCAGGAGAGGCGTGGAGGAGATAGCTGAGTGCCCTCCAGTTGGATTTGCTGTTGAGACTGCACTGATTACCATTCCTGTTTTTACTGGAACTGCAGCTGTGAGGAATTGTCTTGAACCCCTTTGTATGGACACAATTTTTTTACGTAGAGGAGCTAGGTTGGAGCTCCTAAAGACTTTGATACCTGATGTCTACTTGACGTTTTATTGGCAACGACATTAAAGTCATCTCCCCTCGCTGTGCAAGGAGAAGGGCACTGTCCTCTCTTGTGTGTGGTGCACTCTCCAAGGCTACCTTGAGTTGTTCTGCTGAGATGGCAACAAGGAGACCAGCTAATGCCAACGGTTGGCCAGGTATTTTGTGACAGGTCACTGAACTTTAGGTTGAACCTCAGCTCAATTAATTGGAAGTATCCCATCATATGGGAACATCTCATTGTTGCAAGCTGCCTGGACTTGTTGCGTATGCATCTTGTTGGGTGCATATGCAATGATGAGGGCATGTTGTAGAGGTAAGGCTGCTTCTTCCCTTTCCTGGCTGTTTCTGCTCAAAATAAGTATTGTAGCAGCCTGATAGCACCTTGCAGGGAGGACTCCAGGTTGGAAGGGAACCAACAGGTACCTAATCTGTATCTGCATGGTTGCAATATAAGTTGAAACGCTTATGTAAATAGTTGACTTAACAAAGAGTGGTTTTAATCTTAGAGGTGTGGGGTCCTAGCACGCTATTACACAGCATGTGAGGCGTGAAATAGATGCAACTGTGCTTCTAAGTAGTTAGCCACAGGTTTATAAACTGGTGGCCTAGAAACAGTGAAAACAATTCTATGTGTATTGTAATAAGCATATATGATGTGACAACAGACCACGAGGCCTGCAGAGCTTGCGCTGTGGCTGCGTGAAGCTCTGCAGGAGCTGTGAGAGTAGATCCGTGGCTCTGGCCTCCAGCATTGTTAGCTGTTAACAACTGTGCCTGCGCTGCATGGTGTGTTCTGCAGAAGATCCACGGGAGCACAGGATCTCAGCCAGCCAGAGACTATATGTGGTTTTCGCTTCCTTTGTAAACTGAACCTTAGCAATGTTAGAGGGTTTCAGTTTTCAAGAATTGGCCATTACCAGGCAGAATGGTAACGGTTTATACTGGTTTGGCAAATGCTGAGAGATCTGGATTGGTATCTGAGCAGAAACATCTGAAACAGCTGGGAAAGGCATCCCTCTATGCAGTCAGCTGTGCACTGAGAGCGCTTCGGGTCCCAAGAAATGCCAGCCCTTTAACCTTCGTGAGCATCATGTGCCCTTTGTGAGGGAGGGGAAATGAATTAGTCACTGTGGCCAGCACAGGTTGGTCTTAGGTGCAACTGTGTACAAATTACATTGTATCAGGCCACGGCTGGGAGCAACCTGGGCTGACTGATGGTATCATTACTTGCATCCTTTTTTCATAAAACTTCCCCTGGTGTGAGCTGCACAGCAGGAAATTGGTGTCTAGCCTGTCTGGCAGCCCATCAGCTTTGGGTTCAATGCTTACTGTGCAAGAGACTTTGATGAAGTTTAGTTGTCCAAAGTGAGGTGGAACCTGATTTACACAAGGAATGTTTGTGAGCCTCCAGCTTCACGTATCTCCGGTGTATAGAGAAGTTAGGCTGGAAAGAACTGATTGAAGGGCTGACTATTTGTCTTTTCCCCTGAAAGAAGTTTTTGTTTTGTTTTTGTTTTGTTTTTTAAAAAGAAGTTATGATTTTGAACGTTAAATTTTGTAACTAAGTTTTTTAAAATTATTATTAAAAACAGTTTAGCCCCTTCCACTGGGTTTAATCATAGAGTAGCCACATCAGTGGCTTTGTCACAAAATGTAGCATTCCTTGACACTTAACTGAAGTGTTACAGTGTGAATACAGGAAATTACTTTATTGCAACATTGATTGCGAGTTGTTACTGCTTAGCTCATTACAATTTGTGTGAGTGCTATTGGAGATTTTAAAATATATTGCTTAGTGCAAAACTTCTAAGTCACTAATGATGAGAAAAATTACCTTGGAAATTACAGTCAGTCAAGTAATATCGATGGTTCATTTGTCAGATTTCTGGGTAAGCTTTGTCTAAATAATTTGGCAAACAATTTCCTCTTTATTCTCAAATCCTTTGAAGCTTTTCCAGTTTTTTGTTGATGGAGATGGGGCTGTCTTTGGGGAGGCATGCTGACCTTACAAGTGTTAGCTAGTGCATATAACCCACTATGCAAAGGTAACCTCAGTCATATCCCTCATTTTCTGATAGATATTGCCAAGTGTGATAACACCATTGTTTTGAGGTGTCCCCCTTTCTGATTCATTACAAGGAACAGCAGCTTCTCCCCAATGAAAAATGAGTGTACAAGGAGTAGGACTGAGCTTAAATCTAGCCCTAATCGGTTGGGTGATAGGATCACATGCAGCTACAAATTATTTTGCTGTCTTTCTGTAGCTGGCTTTAGTAAGGCCCTCTAAACGTGGGTAAGGACTGTCTTCTGTGCAAAATGGAAGTGAACCTAGCCAGAGTAGGAGGAGAAAGCAGTGTCTTGACCAGGTCACCCTATGCAGTTCTGCTGTTAGTGTAGCTACACCAGCAGTTCCTTGATTCTAATGATGCTATTGCTGATGCATAAGAGCCGATTGCCTAGTTTTTGAAGTAGAGTCCAGCACTGATGCCACAGATCCCCAGCTGGGAAGGGAGTTGGAGCTGGTGCCAGCTGTGTTCTCATCCATGGCTGATGGCATTGTTGGACTGATTTCTTTGAATTTATAGGAGTGAGAAGGTAAAAATAGAAAGAGGCCACGGTAGGCTCTGCAGCTACCGTCCTAAAAATGTCTGAAGCCTCCTCCTGCTTCTTCTCCCCCTTCTTCTTCAGAAGTCCACAGCTCATAAGCAGATGCCAGCAGGATCTGAGGATTTATCAGCTGCAAAACAGGAGGTTGTTTGTGGTGGGGGGAGGGGAAACAAACTTGATTTTTCTTAGATTTTGAGGAGAGTTTGGGCCTTAATATTAAAAGGCAAAGGCTCTCAAACGTGTCAGAGGCTAGGGTGATCCGTGAGTCCCTCTATTACTTCCTCTTCCCTCTCTGGTGTCCTTCTTTATGTTGATGCTGTTCCGAATGTTGGGACGAGGGAGCAGTGCGTGTGTGTTTGAAGGCAGCTGATTCAAGTGTTCGCATCTCCCACTGAGGCTGAAGTTTTAGCATGGAGCTATGCTTACTGCTCCCACTTAGCTGGTCTGGGGTTTAACTGAGACTAGAGGCTTTCTGCCCTTCTGTCACTCCTGCTGTAGGCCATTGGAGGAGGCCGTTCCTCAGCCTGTGTCAGGGTGCTTGCAGTGGAGAGCTCTCATCTTGGAAGTTGTTCTGTGGCCCAGCACGGTGGACTGTAAAGTTCCCCTAGTTAATCAGGTCGTGGGGGCTCAGGCTAATTGTAAGAGGGGGATTTAGGTTTTACTAGGTCGTTCTGGAGTACCTGCTTCAAGATACTGTTGCTGTGTTGGGCACTGTTCAGTGTATAAGGAATAAAAAAAGACCTTGGTCTTCAACCTGGCCAAGAGCTGAGAGCGCTTACCCTTGAATCAAGGGCTACAGACCTCATATTTCTTGTGGCAATTTGTAAATTCTAATTATTTAAAATATTTTCCCTCTTCCGCCCCCTGCCCCAGTCCCTCCTCAGAGTATGTGGGCAATGTTTGAGCTGGAGCTGACCGCAGACTGACTTGTTCACAGAATCAGTCTTACCTTTGATATCATGACCTGTTTTCTTCTACAGTCTTGCGTACTCTTGAATATCTTGCTGTGTTTTGTAGCAGGTGATACCTGTTGACTTTTCTGAGGGATGTCCTGTAGTTTCTCAGCCATGCTAGTACTGCTCCTTCACTTCTGAAAGAAACAGTCCAATATAAGCTAACTTGCTGTCTTTTCATTTGTCTCCTTTTTCCTCCAGGAGCTGTTAGTTAATTCTGGATAAACATCAACAGCCACCAAAGAGCAGAAGACAGGGACAACAGATGCCCTTGGAAGTCCCAGCATCCTTCTGGATAGACACTGACCAAAACTGGTGCCTTCTGCCCATAGCGGTCCAAGACAACGACATGATTCCTCTACTGATTGCCTGCATGTATCAGTCTCGATGGATGTTTCTGGTCCTGGGGGAGGGGGACACTATTGCTTCCTTTTTTTTTATTGTGTTACAATATAAACAATTATTTTGACCACAAGTGCTCCTGGCACAGCTTGTAGTTTGGAGGCTCACCTAACACAGGCGTGGTTCACCATATACTGGCTTTGGTTTCACCCATCCCCGTGTGAGTTTTGAGAGCTTTTGTCCTTGTCCTTGTTCTTCAAAGACAGGAGTCTGAAGTACTTGGTAGTACTCCTGACTAGCTTGTTAGGATTAACTGTGCCTAGCACGCTCCCTTTGGTTACACAAGCAGGCGCGTTTCTTCCCTTCCAAGATTCCCTCCTAACCAATAAAGTGTTTAATGGTCACTGTGTGCTGTGAGATGCCTTCAGTCCCACCAGTTTGTAAATGGCTGTTTTCTGCCTCCTGCCCTTGCCAACAAAAACTCCCCACAAGTGTGGGGAATAGAAATATTTCCAGTTACAGTTTATAAATCACAAAACTCGTTCGTTTTGGTCCTGGGCTGAGTGAATTTGGCTTATTTAAAGTACTTGGAAGAGTGCAAAATCCTGGCTGAAG